CAAGACAGAAGTACCAAACCCCGGATTATTTGTGGTAATATGTTAATCAAGAAATTAACCTTTCATCAACAAAAGTATCCAATTAAACAGTATGTCATAATATTGACTCTGAAATATACCCCTTATACTTCCAGAAGAATAATCCAAATCACAATGTGTTTTGCGGTTTATCGATGAACTGTATTCTACCTCCAAATGTTCATACGTCTATATAGATAAACTTATAATAACGCTTGTATCTTCTGCTTCACTATACACTTTAAGCTGTAATATATACATATTGCTACGTTTTGTATTACACATATAAGATTATATATATAGTTATGAATTTCTAGTATACAGCCAAATGAAATATAAAAACTTATTTTTTATTTTTTCAACTGAAATAATTACAATTCAAAAAAGGGTAAATGTTCTTTACATATTTTTTTATCTGTGGCCACAAAATTACTAATGCATGAAATATCATAGTTTAGATTTGTTTGTTAAGCACAAAACTACACAATTAGCTATCCGCGCGAATCGATTCACAAAGGCGTAGCCAAAGTGGGCCCGACCCCCCCCCGGAAAAAAATTTAGGCATGTTTGATCACATATTATTTTTCAGCTTTTATATATAATAAACTCGTTTTGTATCATTTAATAAGAGATACAATTTCTATAAACATTATTACATTTGATTTGATTTATTTTAATGACCATTTCATTAAAAATTTAGATCAATTTCAGCTCTTAAATTTATTTGGCCACCCCCAGCCCTATTGAGAAACCTGGCTACGCCAGTGGAATCGAAGTTCAGTTTGAACGTTATAACCCCTCAAGCTTGCAGTAGGGACACCAGTGGCCTGTATTTAAGGTATTATTTTCGAAAACATAAAAACACAATTATAAGATAACAAAATATATTCACAGTAAAATAATATGCTATATTAGTAAAAAGTAAGTCTGATCAGAAATCGAACTTAATGTTCACAGCTAAACCATTCAATGATTATTTTAATCAATTTTGTTATCCTATTTCATATGCCTGTAACTTTAGATCTCTTTACGTTATATGCTAAATACCTTTTTTAAAGTGGTAGTAAGGACGTTCGACTCGTAATCTGTGAGTCGCGAGTTCGAATCCCGTCATCGAATATGCTCGCCCTTTAAGTCTTGAAGGCACTATAATGTGGTGGTCAATCCCATTTTTCGTTGGTAAAAGAGTAGCTTAAGAGTTGGCAATGAGTGGTGTTGACTAATGGCCATTTTTCTAGTCTATCACTTCTAAATTAGGGACAGTTAGCACAGGTAACCGTCGAGCAGCTTTACGCGAAATTCCAAAAAAAAAAAAAAACGTACAAGAAAATCACTATTAATTTTTTTATATTTGGGATCAGTGTCTAAAAGAAACAACAGTTTTATAATATAATGTACTATCTATGCAATTTTGGAAGTTTCCAATGTGAAATTTGAGACTGAAACTACTACTATCAAACACAGTACTGTAAAAAAAGATATATGATCGCAGGATCTTATTTAAATAAATGACGTTTACATACTGAATGAACATCCTCATTATCTAAACTCTCTTCGTTTGTCGTTCATTGAGTAGAGATTTATTCCACTTGAAGGTGTGGCCTAGTAGTTACCATGCCCGGACTGTGAATCTGAAGATTCATGGTTCAACTTCTTATTGCTGCAAAATTGCATTTCGCTCTTTAGAGTTGTTGGTGCGTTACAAGTGTAACGGTTAAGTCTCACTATTCGGTCAGACAAAAGCTGCCTTTCTTGCAGTCTATCAGTTCAAAATTAGGGAGGACTATGCGCAAATAACCATCTTTTAACTTTGTGCAAAGCTTATAAACAAATAAAAAATATTTCAGTTGAACAATGAAATATACTTGAAATAATATGACTAGCCAATCGCATTTATTGTTGAAGTTATCTTTAAAAATAGCACTATGACAGATGTTTAGATTGTCGTATCATGTTTCACTAACTACATTGGTGGCATAATTCATGGTCATATACAGGTGCCTTCTTCCCCATCCCAGTGGTTCAGTGCTGAGCTTGAGCGCTTAGGAAGGTATAATTCGGGATTCGATCTCCGCGTGGACATAGTACAGGTAGCTTTGCGCCTAGCAACAAAACAAACAAACAAAATCGTCGTTCAACCTTAACATTGATCACACTTCAATAGAAACGTGTTCAATAAACGAGACTTTAAAAATGATTAGAAAATGGGATTATCATAGAATACGTTCCAGTTCAAACCAACAAATGAAACTAACAAAAGGCAAAATTATTAAGAATTTAAGAGATTCCAAATGATTTTATTTCTAATTTTTATCAAAGTTTGCCGAATTTTTTTAAATAGCTTGTCATTACGAAACTAATTCCAACCTAAAAGTTCGTAATCTAACCTGATTCGTTTACATTTTGTCACCTCCTCGCACGTACCTAGCAATTATTTAAAATAACTTTTTAGGAGGATCAAAAAATGATTCCTTGTTCAACCTTATCCGATGGTACATATTTGTCTTCTCCTCAAACTTTTGGTAGTTATCTGGAAGTTATACTATATATATATTTATGTATAAGGGATTATGTCCCAAAGAAATACAAAGTATATGTTTTTGATGCTTATATATTGACCAAAGAGATGCCATTCGTAAAATTAAAAGATTACTTTCAGTCATTCGGATGGTACAATTTTGATTATATTTAAGTTAGAGTAGATATGTATGTAATATAGAATTTATTTTGTCTGTCTGTTCTAATTTATATTTACAACGTGATTGGTCGTTTAAATAAGAAGAAAGCACGTGACAAATTGTTCAGCTGACGATGAGTTGAAACAGCATTAGAGAAATTTCTCTTTAGTTTTATATACAGCCAGTATTCGTGTTCTGGATCGTTGAGAAGTGATCACGAAGAATCATAAACAATGATCTCAAATCTTACACTTTCGGTGTTACGACCCTCCAGTCTTTTCTGTTTTTGGTCAAGATCCGGTCAAAGCAAGGTTTTTCGATTGTTTGCTGCTGGCATGACGACTTGGCATTCAGAAATGCCAAGAGTTGATCTACGAGAAACAGCGGACAAGTCTCTTTCAAAGGGTCAACCTTTTTACAGCCAGGAATATCAACAACATTTCGAAAGCGCCAGAGATGATCCCGAAAGCTTTTGGGCTGAGGCTGCTCAGGAAATCACCTGGTACAAACAATGGGATACAGTTTTAGATAATAAAAATCCGCCTTTTGCCAAGTGGTATGTTAACTTGAATCTTTACTGAAATCTGAATATTAAATTGGTATAACAATAATGGTAAGTAATATTTCTTCCAAAGTAAATTTAACTATGTTTAAAGTTTTACACAAATTGGTTAGCATGGTGTATTATGAATCCAAAGGTTCGTGGATCTCGTACCGTTGCCATAATGAAAAAAAAAAAAAATCGCGCTCAGCACGTTGGGCCATGGGTGTGTGTGTGTTATTGAGAGATTTTCAAATCCCACTATTCGTTCTGAAGAGTAGCCCAAGAGTTGGGCGGGTGCTATTGACTAGCTTATTTTCCTTTAGTCTAACATTTCAAAATTATGGCTAATCATTACGGATAGTTCTTATTTAGCTTTACGCGAATATTCGAAGTAGAACCTTTAAAAAATTTCGGCTAATTAACTGCAAGATTTTTCTTAGAATGTAATAAATTTGGTTTTAATTTTAGATTTTTGTGGTTTAAATTTATTATAATTTACGAACTTATGAGGGCAAGAAAAACCAACAATTTCCCTCTGAAAAGTGTCTACCAACATATTTTACTAATAGAAAAAGTCGTTTGGTTTGTTTGTTTTGTTTTTAATTTCGCGGAAAGCTATACGAAGGCTATCTTCGCTAGTCGTCCCTAATTTAGCAGTGAAAGACTAGAGGGAAGGCGGCTAGTCATCACCACCCACCGCCAACTCTTGGGCTACTTTTTTACCAACGAAGAGTGGGATTGACCGTCACATTATAACGCCCCTCACGACTGAAAGGGCGAGCATGTTTGGTGGAACAGGGATTCGAACCCTCAACCTGCAAATTGCGAGTCAAGCGCCCTAACCACCTGGCCATGCCGCACCATTGTTTTTTCTTTAAATTAAGAACAAAGCTATACATTGGGCTATCTATACTCTGCCCACGACGGGTGTCAAAATCCGGTTTCTATCGTTGTAAGTCCGCAGACATACCACTGTGCTGCTGGGGGACAAGTCGTTTGGACTAAAATTCAGAATAAGACAAGAAGAAAGCTTTTTCTTGGTGACGTAATTGCACCTTTCAGGGTGAAATGCCCAAATTAGGTTAGGGCAGAGATTTAATGAGATATTTACAATGTTCTACCCAAACACCGCATCTGGAAGTAATAAACAAAATATGTTCAAGAAAAACCAAGAAACATTTTTGACAATAATATCTCAAAACAGACCATTTGCAAATAATATTTCTACTTCTGACATCTGGTGGTCTTTACGATATCGCAGATTTATTCACGATATTATTATATATTTATAATTTGGCCCGGCATGGCCAGGTGATTAGGTCGCTTGACTCGCAATCTGCGGGTCGCGGATTCGAAACCCCGTCCCATCAAACGTGCTTGCCCTTTCAGCCGTAGGGGCGTTATAAAGTGACGGTCAATCACACTCTTCGTTGGTAAAAGAGTTGGCGGTGAGTGGTAATAACTAGCTGATTTCCCTCTAGTCTTACACTACTAAATTAGGGATGGCTAGCGCAGATAACCCTCGTGTAGCTTTGCGCGAAATTCAAAACAACTAACTAACCAGTTATAATATTTTTCACTCTTATAAGGATTATTTTACGTTTTTAGCTTAGTATATGAACTTAGGGCTATCCCAAATCTCATAAGTTGGTGAACCTCATGAGAAAGTACTGAAAATTGCAGTCGAGAACAATAAATAATGGCGAGGGTATCCAACTGACGAATCAGTGCATCCTAATCTTGTTTGTTTGTTCTCAAGCACAAAGCTACACAATGGGCTACCTGTTTTTTACCCACCAAGACTAACGAAACCGGGTTTTTAGCGCTATAAACCTTCAGAGTTATCGCTGAGCCACGGGAGGGAGCATCCTAATCTTTCTACATTTGTTATAAAATTGTGCACTCCTAGTTAGACCGGTATGTTAAATTAACTATGTTATTTTTCTGAATTGATTTCACTTGTGATCAGACTAAGTAACTTGCTTTGATTAGAAGTTATTGGTAAAGAAGAGTCAGATTAACCTTCGAATTACCTATTTGTTTTTATACCATTCTCCACCGGAAAAGTCAGCTAGCTTACTGCATCATTTTGAGTGATTATTGATGTTTTGCCTGTTACAACACTCAATGTAAAGAACTAATCAAGACATTTAGTATAATTAATAATTTTATAGGTAAAATACATAGGAAACCCCAGTACTAATTAATGTGATTAGTTACACAATTGATGACATTATTAGGGACCCCGTATCAACAAAGTCCCAGACCATAAGTAAATTGGTGTTTAAGTAATTTAGGAAACTATTTTAGAATCAGATAATTCATTTATAAACGGGTTAATTCATCAGACGTACTAAGTGCTTTTAACTTTTGTGTGTTTGTGTTTATGCGCAGATCTACAGAATGGAATATCTGTGCTGTTCCCACCACGGGATTATAACCCCTCAAGCTTGCCGCTGAGTCATTGGATAGGGGTGGGAGGGCATAAGTTTAACATGACCTGTGTGTGGAAAATGCTTCGGGGTCTCCAAAGACATTGTAAATTTTATATTTTACGAATTTTAGCAACACAATAAACACAATTTGCATAAAATGGAATCTGACAAAATCCCAACAACTAGTAGTTGTTGGGGGTAAATCTAGTATGTTTATTGAATTTGCAGAAACAGTCACAAAAAAATTAGGACTTGATTGATCAACAGGAGCGAGTCCTCAACGCTTAGTCTTGGCAAAGTATCAAATATAATAACATAACACAGATCAATAAGTTGTTGCAAAATTCACCATTAAATAAAGCGATCAACATTTTGTTAATTATTTAATGTTAAGGCTCAATTTGTATTGTTCGCGTGCAAAACGCCAGTACAGCAACCAACGAGTTCAATGTTGTGCTTATTTAATAGCCGTTGTTTATTAAAATCTCATGATTTAGAAGTTCTCCCGGGAGGTCAGCTGTAACTTTCCGGATGTAGAAGTTCTCCTGGGTAGTCAGCTGTAATTTTCTGGATGTAAAAGTTCTCCCGGGAGGTCAGCTGTAACTTTCCGGATGAAGAAGTTCTCCCGGGAGGTCAGCTGTAACTTTCCGGATGTAAAAGTTCTCCCGAGAGGTCAGCTGTAACTTTCCTGATGTAGAAGTTCTGCAGGAAGATCAGCTATAACTTTCCGGATGTAGAGGTTCTCCCGGGAGGTCAGCTGTAACTTTCAGGACTTGAATGTTTATTTTCCGCTGTTCATTTATTCACGGTGAACAGAGAGCAGGTTGCACATTATGCAGCTCTGCGCTAAAAACTAACAACAATATAATGTAGGTCAAGCTGGTTGACCAATATGTAATTCATTTATGCCTTTTTCGGCTTTCAATAAAAGAGAATTGACTCTTGATCTTATGACTCAATGGTCTCAGTTTTCTTAATTTCTGTACATAGAACATATGAATTAATAATATATACAACATCCAAAAAATAATAATATTATGAAATCAGATACAAAAGACATTATTTATAATATGCCCCCAAGTGGCTCAGCGTTAAGCCCACAGGCTTACGACACTATAATTCGGGTTTCGATTCCAGAGGTCGTCAGAGCACTAAGAGCCCGTTGTGAGTCTTTGTGCTTAAACAGCAGCGGAACCAAAACCAAGTAATAAGATTTTCTTAAGTTTACTGAATTTTCAAGGTTAACATAGTATAATGGTGAACAAAGAATGGTACATAGAAATCAGTAATTAATGAAATTCGTTGTTAGTATATGTGCGGTTTATCCAGGTAAAAGTGAATTAACTCTAAAGATACATCGAATAGGTCTGTTTGATAACCAGAGATCTGATCGATATATTGATTGCGAAGAAATAATAAATCTCTTACTAACTGAGTCGATGTGAAAGTATATAAAGATACTGAACACGAAGTGTCAAACAGTCTTTGTTATTACAAAGAAAAAGACAGTGTGTGCACTTACAGTATTACTTACACAGGGTGATCGATTTTATCTTCCAACTGTTTCTCGGTATTTAGACTGAGCGTGACCTATTGGTCGCTTGTCGCTCTGTGGATTTGTAAGTCTTAATTCGCGTTATATTGCGCAAAATTGCACCCCACACATTGGAGCCGTGTATGCTTTACGAAAGTGACGATTGGGAAAGCCCGAGAGTTAGCGTGGGTGCTAATGACTAAAGCTATTTCCCCAGTCCAGTGGTTCTCATTCTCTTTTTGTTCTCAAACAACCCCATTCTTTTTGTGGTTGTTGTATCTCGGCAGATCACAATGGAATCTTTACACTAAGGTGGCGCTTCTTTTCTGTAATTACGCCACCTGAAGCGAGTCTGCGAACTACAGATTGAGAATTTTTGCTCACAACTCGGGATTGGCTAGAGCAGATAGCTCTTGTGTAGCTTTGAGCAAATATCCGAAAGAAAAAACGACAATTTTCTCACTTCCAAAAAAAATTATATTAATTAATTGAATATTTGAGATATAGTTCCAGGAGTCGCTGGCAATTTAGAACATGAACTGTGTCTTACAGTTCATTTATGTCTTTGTATCTTGAATATGTATCGTTAAAAGTAAATTTATGTTCATGTGAACAGTGTAAAACAGAATATCTGTTAGGAGTTACATTACTAAAAATGCCTTACTAAACTATAACAATTAGTAACCTTTAAGAAAACTGTTAAGGTAAGCTAATTAAGGCAGCTTTTATCATTATTATTAAAACAGTAATCTATCTAAATTCTCAAGCACGTGGTGATAATACATTTTCATACTTTGAACGCCTGTTTGACACTGAAGTACATTTAATAATAAAAGTAAAGTAAAAAAGCCTGCGAATTCAATGAGCTATTACGTAAATGTCTTTATCAGCTGTTGACACGTAAGGTTTTGGCAACTATCCTTATTAGTATTGCATATACCACTATAAATGTTATTAATATGCAGACTATTTGACAATAGTTAAAATACACTTGTTTGTACAGCATAATTTCCTTTCTGATTCATCACTAAAGAGTTTACTGAAAGAAGAGGACATCCTCGTTAAATAATTCGTTCAAATTAACGAGATAAGTATACAACAATAAGTTGCGTCTACATTGTGTTTTAAATATATTCTCAGTGTAAAATCACAATTTTATTCATGTTTTTACAAGTTATATAAGCTTTGCCTGGAGCCTAGCTTGGTGTAAGTTTGAGTTATGCAAAGAGGAAGGGTATAAGAGAGAAAGTTTTAACATTTAAGCTTAAAATGACTCATCCTGTTGACGTTTGTTGCTTATATCATCTATAAAGAATTATACTGTACTGTACATACAGAAAACAAAAAGTATTGCGAAAATTTACATTTTGATCACTGGATTTTTTTTCTCGAAATTTTGTTTATGGCTCAAATAATTATAACGTAACGGTCGTTGCTTTAATCGCTTTTCTTTAATAAAAGATAAACTAGGATAATCAGATTTGTCGTATAGAAATCGAAGGATGTGTAACTCGTATAATTCGCGTCGTGAATTTTAAATGATATGCAAGGGCGTGTGTACCTATGCCTAGTTACGCCCCTGCTCGCGATATCATCAGAAAACATAACAAATATGGCAGCCTGTAGTGTAATCTATAAAAAATCACTTTTTTTGTGTGTAAAGTTCTTCTCAAGTTATATAAGACTCATTGTGTTCTTCACACCTTCATCCATTCTAATAATAAAAACTTAATTTAGACGCATTTTGCTTTTGGGGGGTGTCAGTATATATATACAAAGCGTTTTCCACAGACATGCATCGCGTTGTTGTTCGCTACTTATCAGAATGTCACTCCCCATAATATCTTATTTTCAAGTAAATGGTTTGTTTAATTTATTTTATCGTTTAACCAGTATAGTAACTGAATTTAAAAGAAAAGTAATATATTCAAATAAATTACTATAATATTAACGATAATAACATTATAATGCCTAAAGTATGATTGATAAAATGCCAATAAAGATGAAAATGATGCATAAAACTTAGACTTACCATCGAAAAACAATAGGTTTGTGAATGTTTGTTTTCGGATACTTACACAAGGCTACTTGAGGGGTATTGCATTAGCCATACCTAATTTTGAATTGATAGACAAGTGAGAAGTCAAAGACACCAACCGCCAACTTTTGAGCTTCTCTTGACTGACCGAATAATGGAATTTGACCATCATCCTTATAACTCACTCAAGACCTCAAGGTGTGTAACGCGATTTTTTGTTTTGTTTTGCGGTAATGGGACGTGAACGCTGGACCCGCAGATCCACAGTCCGGCACGCTAACCACAAGGCCACGCTAAATCCTTGTGAATGCTGAGTTGATCCCTGATAAAGATGCCAATAAGCTTATGTAGTAAATTTTGCTTGGATTTTAAAATTCAATCCCACTGCTAAACACATCTGCATTGGACAAGACAGGAAGTGGATTCTCAATACATATCTATGTGTGTGTGTATGTATGTATGTAACTATATATATACATACTGTGATTAATAAATCCAAAATACCTATTGTACAAAGAGTTGAGTACGTTATCATAACACGATCTTGGAGCCTCACCACGTCGTGAGAGTTCATGTCGCCAAGTCTAGTCATGTTCTATGTGACGACCGTAGGTCATGACAATAGCCCTGCAGCATAGTTTCCAATAAAAAGGCTCTGCCGTAAGATTATCATGTCCAAATTACACTACACTGTTGAACAGAAGATATGGATGGAAGCTATATTTTGGTGAACACATACCCGGCTGGTCTCGTTTCCTTATAGAGCTGGTATTTATGCGTGGTACAAAGGGCCCAGAACATTGGTCTGATCGTGAGCAGATTTCACCTTGAATTTTGTATCCACTCTCCTGGTCTCTAACTTGCCTCTTTAACAATATTCAGTGATGATCGTGAATCCCTTCGAAGAGGTTCTACTACATGCTGTGTCCCGCTTTTCGAATTTGTTTTCCACCCATTGATCAGCGGAAAGTGTCAGGAGACTTGTTACGATTATCAAGGTACAAATACTCTTCGTTGAGTATCATCACGTATTGCCATTTCTCCCCGACTAATATTATTCATACAGACTTTTACAGTTGGTCTTCCTTTCCTGGATATGCTGTGGAAATATCCTGTGTGCACGTGAATTATGTCACTTTTCCAGACGGAAATTCTTCTTGATTGTGTTGAATATTGTTGTTTGAGGGACGTGGATGGCTTTTGCCACTTCCCTTTGTGTTCATGGATCCTCACCTATCACATTTTGCTTGCCACGGCTGGGATATGACTTGTTGATGGTCTCTTTCTGGGTGGTCGTGGGCTCCCATAGTTGATCCATACACCTTTGTTTTCTAGTGCCATTAAGTACAAGGGATATCGCTGTCTGAAAATTCTAATTCCCCGATCTGAACACATTTTTTATGATCTGAGTGTATGAATATTTTGCATCAGAAAGAGCTGTTATATATCCTTACCAAAAGCGATCAAGTTTCAGTGACATCACACTACTTACGTAACGCCAAACAATGTCAAAATATAGTTCTGATACATGCCTTTCAATGCGACTTTATATCGGCTGTGGTTATCACGTGACTTGCGTATTCAAAATCGTTTTAATATTATCTACTCAAACCTCTGAAAATATTTTAGCATGTGTCAAGCACTTCCTATTAAAAAAAAACTCATATAAAGCGTGTATTGAGTGCAGAGAGCCCAAAAGATGGTGACTATGATGATATGTTACACAATCACCTTAACGAATTACACTGTTATATTTTCTTTAACGAACTGTGATAACGCATTTCATTATTATGTTTTCTTTAACGTGGTCTTTTGAGAAATATGATTAGAGTATTGAATAAAGTAAGAAATCAGGCGCGTAGAAAACAAAAATAAAGTTCATATAAAGGAAATAAACGTAAAGCCACGAAAATAAAAACAACGAAAGCACGTGTGATCTTTTCAGGGAAACGTATTTCCGCATAAATATTAGACAGGTCTACTTTATAACAGGAGGATCGATCAGGAAAATTGTAAAGTAAATCTGAATTTAACTAAACGACTGAGTTTTGAGCTAATAAGCGAACATGTAACGGTCTAAAATAAACAAGCCGCTATAATCAGGGTTCAACACACACACACAAAATAAGCAATTTATTCAACAATAACAACACTTAGAAATAAATTCAACACTTACTAAAACACATTTAATAAACAAATGCCTGGCCAGGACTTGATGCTAATGTTAATGAAAAAGATATTATAAATATCAATATTATTTCAAATAATTAAATCAGGAAAAATAACCAGAAAGAAAAAAAATACAGCAACATAAAATCCCTTTCAATATTAATAACAATATCGAGTGATAAACAGCAATAATTCACTAACTGTATTGTTCACTAACTACCTAATGAGCTCTCTCTCTCTCTTGATGAAGCTTCTGGCAGGGTATGTTTTTACTGAGTAGGTCTCAAGAGTACACCTCTTATGATCATAAATTTAGATATCATTATTAATAATTGTACGTCGCTGCTAGGGGAGCTGGTGTCAGTTTCATCATACATACGTATCTACTCAAAATACAGTGATTATCTAAATGATGAGTTAGCGTTTTAATGCAATTAAAAATTCACAGATAAACTAAATGACAGAAGGAAATAATAAATGAATGCTAAACGCAACCATAACCATAAAAAAATAGAATTTGCTATCTCACAAACAGATTGGACATGTAATGTAAAATGAAGCATAATCTTCATTTATAATGCAAAACAAAGAATCACAGTGTGCGTACTTGCGGGGACACTGGACAGTCGTCTTTCTTCCGGATTATTGAACCAATAAACAGTTATTATTCCTCAAGAAGACTTTCTGTTGATCTACTCACCTCTATGTAGATCTATTCTGACTAAAACTGATGCTCAGTACTAACAGCAAATCTCGATTTTACACATAAGTGATACGTGTCGCCACTTGACTAGTTGTTCTCCCACAACATACAAAGACTGTGATCTTTAGATATCATCTACTCGGCCACTGATGGAAGTTGCTGTTCATGACCTGCCCTACACAATATGCAATGTTTCAGCAATATCCCTACGGGCAAATTATATACTATTTGCAAGAGAACAACAAAAGTAACTACAACGAAACAACTCGATGGTATTCTGGACGATGACAACACTTAAAATATCATTTCGCTTCAAATAGACCCACAGTGGCACAGAAGTATGTCTGTGGACTTACAACACTAGAAACCGGGTTTAGATACCCGTGGTGGGCAGAGCACAGATAGCCCTTTCTGTAGCTTTGTGCTTAACTTCAACAAACAAACGCTTCAAATAACTGCAAGAAATAGAAACTGTGTAGATAAGTAAACGACTATGGCCAAAATGAGTTCATAAAAAGCTTTAAAATATTCAACGTTGGCATATCATATGTCGTCATAATTTTATTAGAAAAGTGGACTCATTTCTCACAGAAATGTCAAAAATATGGAAGCTACACAATATGCCATCTGCGCTCTGTGCACCACAGGTAATCGAACCTTGAATTTTAATGTTGTAAGTCCGTAGACGTACTGCTGACCCACTGGAGGACTCATGGAAACTATAAATAAGAAAGCGTTCTTACCAAATTATCGATATTTGAATATAAACTAAATGTTAGAGAAAATCATTTAAGTATTTTTATGAATATGTTACTTGAGAAAAATAAAGAAATAGCATACGTTTTCATCATGTTTGAATTGCAATCATCTCTCGTTGACAAATTTTCAATAAATTACTTTATCTTATCCAAGAAAAAAAAATCATTACAAGAATGATTGAATGTTTATTTGTTTATACGTGATGGTCTGAGTGTAATTGTAAAGCATATGTGAACTGTTACTGCAAAGAGCGTCATACTTGCAAATAACTAGGCCTACCATAATGATAAAGCTTGAGGCCACCAAAAGCTTTGGGAAACTTCGTTGAGGAACCACACTCAATGATTTAATAAATATTCTAAATAATAGCCTCTCAGTCACCTTTAACTCATTTGCAATATATCTATATAATTATTTATTATTGTTAATAAATAGATGAACATATTTAGAATATCCAGCTATTAACATTCTTTGATCATTTGTGTGCATGTCATAATTGTGGTATTTGTATTTGCAGGTTTCCAGGTGGTCTTTTGAACGTGTGTCATAATGCTGTAGATAGACATGTGGATGCAGGTCTAGGAGACCGTCTAGCTATTATTCATGATAGCCCAGTAACAAATACAGTCAGGTTCATTACATACAGACAGTTGCAGGACCAGGTAATCTCTTAATATTTTATAAGTGTGCATAGTATTCAGATACTCTTATGTCTGATAGATAGTTCTAAGTACCCATAATGCAGAAATTTAGGAAAATGCTATGCATAGAATATTTCGAAGACAAACAGCAAAGGAAATACAAATACACAAGACAAACAAAAGCCTCGATTCATAACAGTATTTATGTTAAAATAAAGCTGATAAGCTTCTGTTTAGCAGAGTGATTTGAATAGGACAAGGGCATGATAAAGATTAATGCAATACTACACGTTGGAGTCAAACAGAGGTCCTAGTGCGATATCCCACTTTGTCTATAACTATTCCAAATATAATACGCAAGTGAGAAAACCCCAAGCTCGTCCCAACTTGTACAAGTGTCTGTGTCACTTCTTGAGATAGGATTGTCACTCACAAAGGAGTAGACACAGGTAAAGGGTCAAATTGGTAAAAGTTCCATGAGATAGCCATTGCCACATGTAACCTGTACTTAAACAAAATAACTAGTACATATTTAAGACCTTTAGATATCCAATTTACAAAAATTTCATTAAACACCTGTACGAAAATTTACAAAACATACCTGAATATACCTTACTAAAGATGTATTCTAAACTAGTTATAAAAGGGTGAAATTAACAGTTATTTCAGCTGTGAAATTTACAGAAAGCTTTTATCAACCTGTGATAATAACAATTTATATATCCAATCACCTTGCCCCTGGTGTTTTTCGTGGTCTGCATCTACACAATTTAAAAAACTCTGATCCTTTTGTTGCAATTCAGATAAAGAGTCATTATCTGCAGTGCCGGCTTAAGTTCGAAAATTGAAGAATTCGAAAATAAAATTCTGCACCTTTTTCAAAATCTTATATATTTTTTTATTTTTTGTACTTTACAATGCTCTAGATATTTTTTTAATTCAGAATACGGAGTACAAAAATGGTGCACAGCAGAAAAAACTGAAAAATTGATATAAAAAAATAGCTTCTAGGAAATGGAACCTTGCGAGCTTTTAACATGGCAAACTTTTCCTTAATTTATCCATATTAATTTATCTGGCAGTTTCATTTTTTTATAGAATGAGCAAAGTTAATGATATTCTTAGAGTGATAAACTTTATCTGGAATTAAATTTTCCGGTATTCGATATGATATCAATTTAACTTCGGGCCCGACATGGCCAGGTGGTTAGAAAGCTCGACGCGCAATCTGCGGGTCGCGGATTCGAATCCCCGTCCCATCAAACATGCTCGCCCTTTCAGCCGTGGGGGCGTTATAATGTGACAGTCAATCATACTATTCGTTGGTAAATGAGTAGTCCAAGAGTTGGCGGTGGGTGGTGATGAATAGCTGCCTTCCCTCTAGTCTTTCACTGCTAAATTAGGGACGGCTAGCGCAAATAGCTCTCGTGTAGCTTTGCGCGAAATTCATAACAAACAAACAATTTAACTTTCACCACAAACATCCCTTTTCTCTTTGCTTGTTAGTATTTTTTCAGAATATTTACTATTTTTACGCTCCTAAACTTTTACGGTGGGTTCTCTGAGCCCTTCGAATCCACCATAATTACCTGCAAGTGCAGACGGCGCCTAAATACGGATTAACCAAAGGAAATTTTCCCTTACTAAACTGTTAATTATTATTTTATTTTTTTTTGAGAATGTTGCATGTGTCATAGATAATGAAAGGGGGTGTGGACTTGAACTTCAAAAAATCTTTTGATAAAGTACCACACAAAAAATTAGTTAATAATATTACATCAATGGGATCTGGATAAAGACAAGTAAATTGTGTTGTAGGATGATTGTTCGTGGGTTTATGTTTTTTAGTTTTTATGAATTATATCGATAGAGACATTCTTAATAAATTAGCACAGTTTATAGATGGTAATAATTTCTTTGATATTTCTAGCTGTACTGTGGATGTTGGGGTACTACAGAATGACTAGGACCAATTGGTTAGTTTTATAACTGGTTGGCGTTGGCAAATTACCATTAACTCTAATGTAAGAGTTATCATAATTTGGATCACACTGCAAGTTTATTAATTTTTTTATATTAAATATATCTTGTTAGTGCAGGGTTGTCGTGAAGTGACAAATAATCCATTGTTGTTAATATGTTATCTTATGTTAAAGTTGATATTTTCCGAGAAGATTATGTTACAAGGCTTTCTGACACGAACTCCAAAATTTGCCTTAGCCTTTCTTTATCCACCCTAACCAGTATGTCCAAAACACTGGTGATTTACAGATCTTGACAGCAAAGACCCCCAATATCCTGTCTGTCCCACCTTAGCTCCCCCTTCCCTTTCCCAACCTGAAAAAGGCTGCCACCTGACCTAAGAAAAGCACGAAAGTTTAACATTTCTAAGAAAAGAATATCTGAAATGTTGAACTGTATAGATAAAGATATGAAATCAGGCCACCCAACAATCGTCTGTGAATCGTACTCTGGCAGTAGTAACGAAATATAAACAGCGTGGTATAAATTGAAATTCATATTATATAATTTTCAGGCATCTCATATAGACTTCTGTATTTTCTGGTTGTTCAAAGAGGCCCTCGAGGTCGCCGCCCTTGAAAAGTTGATCTTTGGCAAGCCTAGAGGGGTCAACATTGGCTTTAGTGTATTGCGAAAAAGCCTCCTGCATCTGAATTGCGCTGCAGGACAATACTACGTAAATAGTGCTGTCATGAAGCACAATATGAAAGGGTTGTAAGGCCTTTGCACTCAGCTTGTATCATTACTACAGATCATAAACATCCCTCTATATTTAGTACTTATCAGCGTGTAAGTGCAATAAATGAAAAGCCTTTATCTGAACGTTTTTATCGTGAACACAAACTAGATTGCATATTTCTTCATATTTTGAATATATTATTGTTTTGGATTTCATTGTTTGTGCTTATCAGTAATTAATCTCGTGAACCACAACTGAGTATTTCTTATTGTACATTTGCTGAAATATACTTTACGGTATAAATATAATAGTGTAACTATATATATCTCATTTACAGATTGATTGTTCATTCTTTTTTTTTTGGATATTTTTCAGGTTACAATACTGTTTTACTGAAATAAATATTTTTATTTATGTTTTATATAGGTTATACCTGTACACTTATGTATATTATAAACATCGAATGAACTAATAAAAGCGGTTTTTATCACACATACTTATATATATATATGCATATCTTAGTTTTCCATTTTTATTGTGAAACTTCATAAAATATTTATTCTTCGTGGGTTTTACGACTCTTTTAGGTTTCTAGTTTAGCAGGTACGTTTGCGCAATGGAATATCAGAAGAGGAGATCGGGTTGTAATCTATATGCCAATGATACCAGAAGCAATTATTGCCATGTTAGCTTGTGCTCGTATTGGAGCAATTCATTCTGTCGTGTTTGGGGGATTCGCTGCTCGAGAACTGGCTATTCGAATGAACCATACTGAGGTGAGAACAAAGTCACTATACAACGTGGTCAAGTGTTTTCGCTGAACAAGCTAGAAAATGCAAGTATTCATTGTATATTTTATGAACACAACGGATTTTTTCTCAATATTAGGTGTGTAGGGACAGCCCTAAAGCCAGGAAATGCAAGTCTCTACTATTTATGCTATAAACACTAGTTACAAGTAAAGAAGCTACGTTTATATAGTTTCTAGGGTGTCTCTTTAATATAATGACTGTGCATAATTTTAATAAGACAGATTCTGTGGGTGTTTTTGTTTTTTTCTATATCGATTGTTGGAACAGTTACAGTTCTAATTCTAATGTTCTTCAGTAAAATGTTTTAATGAACTTTTCCTTAATTTGTTAATATTTCCTTCTAATGTTTCCTCTTGCAAGTGCTATGACTGAATATATAATATGTTAACTTTATTTTGTTTAACTAGATAACTGTACTTAAAAACACCACGTTGATATAACGGTTCTCTTATCAAGATGTTACATGATAAGTAGATAACCATATTCTTAATATGTCACTATAATGTACAGCTGCTGCTTCTACACCTTCTCTGCAACATTATTTAGTAAAACAATATACACCCTTTTAAAATATTATTAAAATTTTCAAGATATCAACACCGAGAGCTGTATTAATAAGTACTGTTGTTGTGTGTGTGTTTTATAAAGTGTTGAATACTGTTTTAGGTAATTGTTGAAATTTCATTTACAGCCAAAATTGGTAATTTCGGCTTCGTACGGTGTTGAACCAAACAGATTAATAGAATACAAGCCCATTTTGGAAGAAGCAATACACCTGTGTGAGCATAAACCTGAAAAATGTATTATATACAACAGGCCAGAGATGGTGAGTGTCGAATTTATAAACTGAAAACAAGGGTTATTCATCGATGAACAAACAAATATCGTCTTTTCCACCCGTAGCTTTTTTTTTTTTTTTTTGTAGAGTAGTCTTCTAAGACTTTCTCCTCAAATGTCACTCTCAACTAAGCAGTTGCCCCTAGTAGCACAGCGTTATGTCTGCGGACTTATAACGCTAGAAACCGGGTTTCGATACCCGTGGTGGTGAGAGTGCAGATAGCCCATTGTGTAGCTTTGTGCTTAATTCCAAACAAACAAACAAACTAAGCAGTTGCCGCCCATTTAAACTTTTTTTGTTCCTCATAAAGACTTTCTAAATCATCTATGAAAAAAAAAAAGATTGTTCACTTCTTTAGTTTTTAGTAACTCATATTATATATATATTTGTATTGGTGCAAAAAGTTGTTTGTAATTTGCATATACACATTTATTCACTTATATAAAAAAACTATATGTCCTTGACACATTTTCATAGAGA